AAAAAAAAAAAAAAAAAAAAAAAAAAAAAAAAAAAAAAAAAAAAAAAAAAAAAAAAAAAAAAAAAAAAAAAACCAAGATGAAACAACAACTTACCAGAGCCTACTCGCGAAAGCAGCATGGAAAAGATGAAAAATGCAATTGGTTAACATTAGCAATGCAAAAATTATCATCTATATTTTTCTTTCTCTGTCCTTTGGTTATCATAATTGTAATTAAATTAAATGTTAATAATAATAATAATACAGAGGCTTAGGCGTTACGTGTGTAGCGTTTGGGTAGTACAATGTACATACACTATATAATATATGCGGCTGAGCTTTGTATCGCATTTCGGGTAGAGGATCACTTGTTCGGATGCGGAGGATAGCAATGGAGGAGGGGAAGAAACAATATTATTGTGTGTACTTTTTAAAAATTGAGGAAAAAAAAAAAAAAAAAAAAAAAAAAAGAAAATTCCACGTAAGTACGATCGCACGCATATACATAAACTTTTTTTGGGACACACGCTTTTAGTTTAGGTAAACGTCCCCACAACAACGAAACGTGACGTAGTTTCCCCCCCCCCCACACGCGTGAGATAAAATCTTCTCTGGTGGATCAGACGGTTATTGGGGGGGTATAGGCACCTTGATCTTGGTGACAGCTTCCTCGACCATGTGCTTTTTGAGCCGTTTGCGCCGTTTGCGGCCGGTCTCCTCCTCGACCTCGACAGACCCGAGGAACTGCAGCCGAAAAACGCTAGACTCGGCCTGTTGTTGTTGGGCCATTAGTTCCTCGCTCGAGTCGCAATCCTCCTCGTCTTGGCTCGCTTGCGGAGTTAAAGTTGCCGAGCTGCTTTTGGGTAGGTGGTGGTGCTCCGTAAGGGTCGAGTTGCTGGCGTCGTCCTGGTTCTTTTTTTTTTTTTTTAAATTTTTTTTTTTTGCGATGGGAAAACACAAAGAATTGTTGTTTTTGTTCTTTGCGTCTTGGTTGGGCAGCTATAGGTATACTTTGTTGCAACATTTATTGCAAGGGGTGTGGTGTACATGAATTGCATTCGGTCGAGTGCTGTCTCAGTTCGACACAGATAAACGATGCTAAAGTATACACGAGAGAACAGGCGACGGTAGTGGTTGCACATCGTGTTTAACATATTATTAAAAAAAAAAAAAAAAAAAAAAAGAACAATACAGTACCGGAGGTGGAGACGTTTCCTACTTGTACAATGTTCATAATTACGCATTCAAACAATTATATTCACTATGATATCGGATCTTTGGATTGTACAATAACAAACGAGCTTGGATGTTTATTCTTCATCATCGACAATAATCATAACTTTACGACACAATACATAATTTCTTTTTTCATGATTTTTATTATTATTATTATTATTATTATCATTATTATT